CCCCCCCCCCCCCCCCCCCCCCCCCCAACTCTTCAACCTTCAGTCCTCACATCATTGCCTTTGCTGTGGAGTGTTCTGTTCTTCTCTCCAAGTCTGACTCTTTTCCGCTTAACATTCAGATGAGGCAGTTTCATTCTTCATGTTGCCTGAGGGCAAGCAAGACCATTTAGGAGAGACTGGGTCTCTGCTTTCAGGTCTGATGCTTAAACCAGGACATGTGGGACTAGAGTAGTGGGAGACTTAAGTTACAGGGTTGTCTAACTCTACAGCCCCAGACTGGGTATGCTTGTAATAGAATCTTCAGTGATTGGATCTGTAAAGTTCTCGTGAGACTCTACAAAGCATGCTCAGAGTGTTATTTCATAAAACTTATAACTTCATCATTTGGGTGGCTTTTCCTAGTGACTATAAATGACACAAAGGCTATTGCTAGCATAATCTAGTATGTGTGTTCCACAACATACTGTGCTAGAGTGTTTCAAAGGAAAATGGGGGGGAGCGTGACACATTTTCCATAGCCCCATTTTTGGAAATACCTTCATTGTTTTAGATAAAGTTCTTTTAAAAAGTGGACTAAGTTCAAAGAACTGAAGTTTGATAAAGTTTTAAGCAACTGAAACACAGGGACTCCAGTGGAAAAAACAAGTAGGGAGCAGTGAGTGAGCGCAGCCTGGGGAAAGCATAGGGAGCACTTCCCCACTGCTCAACTCCTCCTGGTCCCTGGAAGGAGTCAGGCAGCAAGAAAGTGGGTAGGTGTTAATTTTCCTGGGAGAAATTCCCCCTTGCTGAGTCATGGATGGGTTATTTTTCTTCCAGAAATGCCATTTTTGTTCTGGGAGAAACTGTGAGCACCTCTACACATAGTTTCTCCTAGAAGAGCTGCAGTTCTCCTGGTAGAAACATGTGCTTGGCCTTAATTGTTTAAAATCTTTTTTAGATGCCTAGCAATTTAATGTATTTATAACTATCTCCATCTGTTCTCATGCCTCAATGAGAATAAAAGCAAAAGGAGTTTTGACAAAGTTAAAGGTTACTGGTCATATGCGGGCTCCTTTGAGGTCATAGATAAAATTTCCCCGACCAGGATTTTATCCATTGTTATTATTTAAGTTACAGGCAGTCCTCAGACTTACAACACACTTGGTTCCTGAAAACTGCATCTTAAGTCGAAACGTCGTAATTTGGAACCAGTTTTCCTATAGGAAAAATGTTATAAATGGGGGATTGGTTCCTTTACGATGGTTGACACAGCTGCATCCAGCTGGTAAGTCCATTGTGGTGGTGGGGGAGAGAAGGGGCATCGGGGGGGGCAGATCAGCACCCACGCAGCGAGGGAGGGATTGGGGCTAGGGCTGGGACTGGTGCTGGGGCAAGTGCTGCCCAGCGAGGGAGTGGGGCGGCTCACACCATGGTGTGCCACCAGTCTGGGAGCTGCTATTGTGGTAGCTTGTCCAGCAGCTCTCATTGCTGCTCCTGCCACCAGCTCGGGAGGGCATGGGGCAGGGGCGTGTGCCCCAGAATCTGCGTGGGGCAGGCGAAGCCGGGGCTGCGCTCTGGGTGGAAGGTGGAATGTGGAAGTTGCTGGGAGCAGGGGCTATGCCCACCTGCTGGCACGGGGCCAGCACAAGACTGAGCCACTGCACTGGCCCCAGACAAGCAGCATGTAGCGGCGGGAGCCAACCCAGCCTCCCCACGCCCGTTGGGCAAGCAATAGCTTCGCCTCAGCTGGGTGAGTGGCAGAAGGGCATGGGGGGAGCAGGCATGTGCCACCGAAAAACTTTCTGCAGCCCTGCCATAACCCCTACTCTGCTGCCCGCCCCACCCTGCCGTCCCCTGCCCCATCCCTATCCAGAGGCACATGCCTCCCCCGCCTCCCATGCTTTGCCACTGCTCGCCCAGTCGGGGCAAGCCTGCTGCCCATTCAGGAGTCACAGAGAGGCTGGTCTGTCTCCCACCACTGCACGCTGCTTGTCTGGAGGCAGTGCAGCAGCTCAGTCTCGTGCCAGCCCTGCACTGGCTAGGCAAGCAGCAAGGGGGCATAGTCTCTACTCCAGCGCCTTCCGCCTGGAGTGCAGCCCTGGCTATGCCCACACCATGCAGATCCTGGGTCACATGACCCCACCCCATGCCCTCCAAGATCAGCAGTGGGAGCAACTGTGAGAGCCTCTGAACAAGCCACCATACGAGCAGCTCCTGGACTGGCGGTGCGCAGCAGTACAAGTCGCCCACCCCCTCGCTGGGCAGTGTTTGCCCCAGCCCCAATCCCTCTCTCACTGTGGGGGCATTGATCTGCCTCCTTCTCTCCCCCGTCCCCCTCACCACAACAGACTTACCAGCTGAACACAGCTGTGTCAACCATCATAAAGGCGAAAGCTGCATTGGAACCTCGAAACAGGGTGTCAGTTTACAAATGTCGTAAATGCCATTTGTCATAACTCAAAAAGTCATAAGTCAAGGACTATCTGTATTTAAGAAATAATTCCCAGAATGTTTGCATAAGAAACATGATTATATTGTTCTCATATTTTTAAAAAGTCTTGTTCTTGTTTGTTTTGTTGGGGTTTTTTTCATTTTATGGCAGGTCAATGGTGGTTTCTTACTGTAATGTATGCTGTATGTTAGGTACACGTATTGAATCTGTTTTAACAAATGTGCCTCTTTCTCTTTTTATTTAACAGAATCTGACGACCAAAACTACAGAGTAGAAGCAGTGCATGCACTTGTCCATAAATTACCAGAGAAAAACAGAGAGATGCTGGACATCTTAATCAAGCACTTGGTCAAGTAATTCCTTTCCACTATTCTTGTCCATATGGTGTTTTTTGTGGAGTTTGGATTTTTTTTCTTTTTGTTTGCCAATTTTGGTTAATCCAATCTCTGTCCTTAGAAATTCGTCACATTCAACCTGGGGGGAAGTGGGCAGCGGAGTCCCCCAGGGCTCAGTCCTGGGGCCTGTGCTGTTCAATTTCTTCATCAGCGATTTAGACGACGGGGTGAAATGCAACCTGTTTAAATTCACTGATGATACCAAAATTTGGGGCGAGGTGAGCACGCTAGTAGGGAGGGAAAGACTGCAACAAGACCTGGATAGGTTACAGGAGTGGGCTGACATAAACAGGATGCGTTTCAATGCTGACAAGTGCAGGGTGCTGCACATAGGCAGTAGAAACCAGCAGCACACTTATAGAATGGGAAACTCCCTTCTTGAGAGCACGGAGGCAGAAAGGGATCTTGGAGTCTTTATTGACTCCAAGATGAACATGGGCCGACAATGCGAGGTCATGGTTGGCAGGGCTAACTGGACCTTGTCATGCATCCACAGGTGCATCTCAAGTAGAGCCAGGGAGGTGATCCTCCCCCTCTATGCGACGCTGGTCAGGCCACAGCTGGAGTACTGCATCCAGTTCTGTGCGTCCCATTTCAGGAGGGA